GTAGTATAACTAATATACAATGTACATGGTGTGCAAAATTCACTTATAATATGATATATGTTATGACTAAAATTTACGAGATATTTGTTATAGTGTTTGAATTCAGTCATACAACTTCACAAGACCAAAAATTTTCCATTGAAACCAATGTATTGTTTTAGGCTTAATATGAATGTGGACAACACGATATATATATATGTTGTGAACAAGTTATCATTTTGTACAAATTATAATTTGTACAAAACAATTATAATTTGTATTTTGACTTTGTACAAATTGTAATTTGTAAATTGTCATGGTGCCCCAATTACGATTTGTTCAAAGTCAAAATACAAATCATAATTTATACAATTTTTTTTTTGTACAAATTATTATTTGTACAAAATGATAACTTGTACACAACATTTATATAGTTATGATCATTATGAAGAAATTCTTATATTTCTGTCTGGAACACTTTCCCCAGTTAGAATCACATCGGTAGTATTGGTAAAATACAGAAATGATGAAATGAGTTGGCTACGTGAACAGTGTCTATCATTTCCTTTTTATGTAGAAACTCGTCAAATTAAAACATCAGGCTTTATATGATTTTAAAAGTACGCCAGACGAGCGATTCGTATACATAACCTTGACTCAACAATGGCTCTCTAATCAAAACAGAAGGAACGCCAAATAAATTATGCAATCGAAGAGCATAAACACTCCCAAATCCCCTCCTAAAAAAAATATGTGCCAAATCAGTTAACTTAAATTTCAATTTAATATAAAACATTAGTCTTTAGAACTGAAGTGTTCGCCATTATATTTTGTGACCCGTATTAATGTACAGAAATTGACCGTATCAATGCTATTCAATTTATGTAGAATGTTTTATTCGTTGAATATTCTATATTATAAGAAAAGCTTCCGACATATTCAATGTACTTTATAATGGCAATTGATTCCGAAATCCGGTAGTCTTAACGTAAATAGATAACATAATTCACTTTCATAACGAGCATTAGAAAGTAAATATTCTTGTTTTGTTATGGAATGGCTGAATATTTTTGTTGTTTAGGAACACTCGGTCGTTTGTTTGTTGAGTTTATATCGTCTTTCTGTCAATTGAAGAAATTGTGAAATAAATTTGTCAACTGAACGACCTTAATTTATAAGTAACTAAGAATAGTTTTAAGATAAATATATATCATGTTGTTCTAGAGATTTGTGAAAACAATAATGATGATTACATCATGGCAATATCCACGATGTCAAACATTTTGCTGGCAATATATCCATACACTAAACACACAAGTATATATATTGTATTAAATCATTCTAAATTCATCTTAAAACACATAGGGAGACATCATAAATCTTATATCCTTTGTGAACAATTGAAAATATAACTTACAAGAATCACTTTAAGAATCGATGTTTCACTCAAATCTAAGCGACTGTTCATACCATGCCCTCTTATACTATGTAGGACTACTATAAATAAAATAAATAAACGCTTGATTCTGATAAGTTGTAGTAAAAAAGTTTGATATAAAAAGGGAAGCTATTTTGGAAAAAATCTAAACTGATTTAAAGCTCACCCGACCCAGGAGCCAAGTGAGCTATTCTCATCATTTGGCGTCACTATTCCGTCGTCCGTTAACTTTTACAAACATCTTCTTGTCTGAAACCCCTTGACTAAATTTAATCAAACTTGGCCTCAATCATCATTGAGGTATCTAGTGTAAAAAAGTGTCCGATGACCCAGCCTGCCAACCAAGATGGCCGACATGGCTAAAAATAGAACAAAGGGGTAAAATGTAAGTTTTGTCTATTTTTTGAAAACCGTTATAAATAGAGAAAATCTGACAGGACAGAAATGTTCTGAATGTTGAGCTCTACCAATTGTACATTACGTAAAAATTGTCAGGTGACTTCTTATAGGAGTTAAATTACAAAGTTTACCTTTTTTCATTTTTGCCTATTATCTTGAAAACTAAAATAGACAGAGAAAAACTTTAAGTTGCAAAAATGATCAAAAAGACAAGATCTACAAATAAGTATAAACATGATTGAAATCATCAGTGGACTCCTTATGTAGTTATTGCCCTTTGATGATGATGTTTACCAATATCTTTTAAATAAGAATAGATAGATAGAAAGAAACTTGAATAAGAAAGAAAAAATGATCAGCAAGACAAGATCTACAATTAAGGCAATATCGAGGAAATTGTCCGACTACTCCTTATTGTAGTTATTGCCCTTAAATGACGATTTCTTTGTATGATGTATTACCTTTAAATGACAAGTTTTACACATTTTCTTGCATTTTGGATATTTTCTTGAAATCTATTAAAGGTAGAAAAAAACTGCAAAAACGGCCTGCTAGATAAGATCTTCAAATAAGCCAACACTACCGGTTGTATTAAAGGTGAAAAAAAAATATCAGAATGGCATGTTAGCGACGCAGGTCCTTGTGAGTCTTGCTAGTTTTGTGGATAAATAACAGCAATTCTGCATTAGTACACGTGTGTACTATCATGTGATCAATCCATGATACTTAGTAAAGCATCTAGTATGAATGTCTTTACTGTAATCAGTGAAACCGTAAGCTGCTATTTTTTCAAATTTTCTATTTATTATTTTTACCTATACCTACGACTTTGGTCAGTTTGACCTACTCAACCTAAAACTAATCGACCGTTGTAATCTAACTTTTAATCGTTTATAAGGTCTTTAGTTTATAAAGCATGTTAAAGGATTGTTCCGCTATCAATAACATAATAGTTTTGTTATGAAACACTATACCTTAATAGTACAACAATTTAAGCTGTAATAGACGAGAATTCTAATGACATTTAACATTTATACAATACGTTATTTATGTAATGTACAATGAAGAATCATCTGCTGTGTCTTTATAGAGTCAAATAAATACTAAATTAATTTTGTAATTTTTCTTCCTCCTGTCTGTATTGGGATAAAATTACAAGTATAAGTAATGTCCATGTTGTTGGCTTTTTTTTGGTTTTTTTTGCATTGGCAAAGTCAATTTACAAAATTATTTCAATCTTAAAAGTATCACATTCTGACAAAACTTATTATTTCCTGTTATACCTGTACTATTAAACAGTAAATCAAATTATCAATGCTTACAGACCTCGTAAAATGGCAATTTTTATAGATTTTTTAAAATAGTTTAAGTATTATCTCAAAAAAGAATCGGTAGGACATTGCAAAGGTACTATCGTAAATGTGTCCCAAAAAAATGAATTTCCTCGTGTATAAAAAATAGCTTATGCAAAGTGTGAGATTTGTTTGGCAATACTTAGTTCCATTCTTTGTCGGAATGCATAAAATGTGGGAAATTGAAGAGTTTTGCAATGTCTTTCAAATGCGTTTTTTTTCGGGTGTCCTTTGGTTTTTTTCAACAAAAAGAACATAAAAGATTTGCACTATTCTTTAAGAATTACTCTGGAAACAATATATAAGTAATAAGTCCTACTTTTTTTATATCTGTTGTTTTTTTCTGTTCCTGAGGGTGTCCTAATAAGTATAGTAGCCAGCCCTTTAGTATGACAAAGTATACTTTGTCAATATATAAATACCCAGTTCCTAAATAACGTAGTTATATGAAAACTAAGATTTCAATCCATCCGACAAAGCTAAGTTGCCTGTAGATGGTTTGGGCTGCTTGTTTGTTTGTTTGTTTTTTCTTTTTAATTGGTTTATGATCGAAAATATTTCATTGTTTGCGGTTTCAATCCGTTGGATTTGAGTTTACCCGATGAAGGTTAATCCAGAAACATGTGACGTGCGTACGGAACTCCGTATCTTAAGTTTTTTCATAAAGGCTTTATTCAGAAGGTAATTGCATGAATATCCCTGAAAATTTAGCCAAATTGGAATATAAAATCGAACAAACTTATAACTGCAGTTATATATGATATTTTCTTAAAGAGGCAATGTATGTTTCGGTAACATTTTGGGGGCAGAATTTTTTTTATTGTATAACAAACAATCAATCAAATATAAAACAATGTTGTGAACAAAGTTATTACTTGTCAACAACATCATGAAATGGCATAGATTTTTCAATAACATCAATAATCAATATTTATATATATAGTCATAGTAACAATTTGTATTTCCATTTTAAACACCCACAACAGTTTTCCATCACCTGGTACACAATGTATACACTAAATGCAGTCATACGAAATATTGAAATAAATAATGCTAAACAACTATACAATTCCTATATGATTTGTAAAGTATACGAAGTTGTTTGAAGTTTTAGTTTAATGCAGAGGTATGTTTGAACAAACAGTACTTTTATGGTTTTTACAACCAAACAAGAGCATGTATTGTTTGTGTATACGAACTGAATCGCAGTCAAGTACTATTATACAATCAGAAAACTTTAGGGTACTTTTTAAGATGTATGACACGTTGTTTTTGTTGAAATATGCATTTTCTTGTATAGTGTGAGAAAGCACTTTCTTTTTAAACACTTTTCTTTTCTATTTTTGTTCGATGGATTCGCATGGCAGATGGTGCACGCATAGCGGGAGACATTTACGTGTCGACGCAACCGGTCTCGCTACTTTTGAAATTCATGTGATTTCCTTAGTGGTTGTGTGTTATCTCGATCTAGGATATTTGAACATCAGTAGACTAGTGTTGCTTAAATTTATAAAATTTCAATTACTAGTATTAATTTCTAAAGTTCATTTCAACAGATTAAATAAAAACAAATACAAGTAATGAACAGTAATGGAAAGAGAACCGTAGAAAAAAATGAAAGGTATTTTTTTTTTATTGAATACTTCTCTGAAAAGTTCACTGTATTGTACATTATCGGAATTATAAAAAACGGATTAAAAAGAAATTAATTTTAGGAACAGAAAACACATGATAATGTAAATATGAACAACAAAACATTGATTTTCATTCTTGAATCACATTGTTATAATTAGAACATTTGTCAGGTTGTCTTTGTCCTGTATGCAGTGTAGTCATTTTACTATCGATTTTGTGATTTGGTCTGAAATTAAAATTTTCCCGAACTACCTACCAAAGGGATTTAATAAAGTAACCCATGACCTGTTCACGCACCAAGAAATACGCATTCATAGCAAAAAATACCTGTGTTGATATAAGTATTATCCGTGTGAAAAAGATTACCTGTGCATTTTATTTTATTGAAGATTGAGGCTTCAATAGGACTATAATAAGACCGCTGATTTGTTTGTGTTTTTTGGTTTATCACGTTTTAACATTTCAAAAGTTGAATTTCAAATTTATTAGTTTGATAGATTAACAGTTTTTCTGGCTGGAGTTTGATATTGAGATGCAAGAACAGAGGAATGATTAGAACTTGGAATAATATAAACATTAAACACATGTGTCAATACCATTTAGAATAACCTATGTTGATCTTTTGAAGTTCAATGGAATTTAACTGAATGGTAAGTCTTTTTTGTAAAAAAACAAAAAGTTCAACATTTTTTACCTTGATCAGCTGTTAATGTAAGTTTAGTAGTTATAACTGTACGTATAGTGTATAAATAGCGCTGGCGAAACTTTTGAGTGAGTTCCAGAACAGTTATTTTATCAGCAAAGAACAAATATAAAGCTCACAAGTGTCGGCAAACAATAAGTGAAGTTATAGGATAAAATTAGTTATAAAGGCTATTATATAGTACTAAAGTGGCTGCCTTCTCTTTTCCCGTCGATTTTAATTCTGAAATGAGATAACATAGCGTGACAGTTTTAAATATACTGCATAATGATACAATGTGGAACACAGACGACATTGGATTTCCGTCTTATAAAGCATGTACTCTTTGAAGGGTCATGAAGTTTTGCTTTTGAATATATCGTAAAATGCATGATTTTTTTTTATAGTTTTGGAAATGAGAATTGATGTTTCCTTGTCTTGCACATTTTAAAGCATTTTTGGCGAATCTAGTATTGCAAGAAGTTTTAATGTTCTCAAATTGGTAAGTGAAAACCTACAGTTTTGAAATATATTAGCATTTCAGACCAAGAATAAAGTAAAAAATGTTATAATATAAGGTTTTTTGTGAAGTTTGGAAGTATTTAGTTGCTGCTTCCTTGAAATTTATTCCGTATCTTTTTCCATTAAAATTGAGTTGATTATTTTATAAATCAACATTTATTGCTTTATATTGACATTGACGGTCATGTATATACATTGTATTGTACATCGATCATGCATTTGTACATGGTTATCTTTTGTTCATTTGGCAACAGATGTACGATAATTAATGATTGAGAAAACTTAACAATATTTTACTAAAGCAACATGTTGTTTGGCATTATTTACTGAAGTGTTGCAGATGTTTCTCAATTGTATTTTATAAAATTAAATGCTCTGAAAATCATTTTATATATTGACGAGCAATAAATTGTGCCGGATCAATTTCTACTAAAGAAAATTTCAATTGATTGATTTGTTTATTGATTGATTATTAGGGGTTTAATGCTATGTTTAGCACGCATTGTTCATCTCGCGGTGAATATTTTACAAAAAAAACCAATGAACATTTCTATAAACTTTGTTGATGTATTCAAAGTACCGACATTATTATCAAAAGAGAAATTCGAAAACATATTTGGACTCATCAAAAGTTGATATATTTCAAACTATTTAGATATGTCTTGCACATGTAAAGACGCAGAATGTACTTTCCTCGCCGAACGTCAACTGCAACAAAATAAAACGACTGTTCAATATATATGTATGATACAGCTTCGATATTAAACTCGGATGAATAGAATAGAATATTTATTGAATCCAATTAAAGGGCCCGTTTCCGTTTTACATATATATATATAGTATCAATTATTCAGTAATTTTTAAGATATATTACATTCAAAAGAAATGAATAAATAACTAGATTTGCCATTGCAAGCAATAGCGGATGGCACCCTTCCCCCATTGCCAGGCGAGCGGCATCCAATTAGAAAATTCCAAAGTCAAAGAGTGCATCTACACATGCAATTATCATTTTTGTAAAGTTTCATTAAGTTTGGAGCATTTTGAAATTTTGGACATTTTTGCTGTTTCCATGGTTACAGCGGCCATTTTGAAAATTCAAACTTCAAAATGCATCTCTGCCCATGCCAGTTACCATTCCTGTGGAGTTTCTTCCAGTTAGGAACACTTTGATTTTTTTCACATTTTTGCTGTTTCCATGGAAACAGCGGCCATTTTTTACCATTCCATAGCAAGGTGCACAACTTTACATGGGGGTCTTCATTATAGTAGAGTTCCATCAACATTGGTCCATTGGATTCCAAGAACTCGCGCGGACAAAATGTGTGGAAGAAAAATAATAAAAACTAGAATTGCCATTGCAAGCAATAGAGGATGTCACCCTGGTCTGCCAATTGCCACTAAACAGCAGCCATTTCGAAATTTTCCATCAGTGAATGCAGATTTATGCATAACAACAGGCCTTGCGGTCATAAAACTTTCGAGCACGATTTTCGTACTCAGACTCAGAAATCAACCAATCAAAATCATGGATTTGGTGTTTCGAGCACAAATTTTGTACTCCGAGTACTTAGTAAAGTTTTATGACCGAGAGCCCAGATCTATCTGTTTTAAATTCCAATGAATTTGGAGCATTTTGATATTTTTTGTATTTTTGCTGTTTCCATGGTAACGGCCGCCATTTTAAAAATTCCAAAGTCAAACTACTGATGCATATTGTTTTCCCCATAATAATATACCATCATATTACATTTAATGTCTGTAGACCTATTTTAACACTAATGTTCTGGAATGTTCAATGAAAAATTCACCCCCTCAAATAATGCCAAGGAGACCCCCCAGTTGAAATAAAAATGTTCCATGTTGAAGTTTGCACGAGTCTCTTAATATCATAGAAGTTTCATATAAATTGGAACACATTTCTATTTTTCACATTTTTGCTGTTTCCATGGCAATGGCAGCCATTTTTTTTTATTCCAAAGTCAGGTGCACAACTACACATGGTGGTTAACATTATGGTATAGTCCCATCACAATTGGTCCATTCAATTCCGAGAACTAAGCTGGACAAAAAGTGTGGAATAAGAATAATAAAAAAAAAGAATCGAACAATAACAATATGTCACCCGACCTCCGTCAGGGTGACATAATAATAATAAGAAAAAAAAGAAACGTAGAATAACAATATGTCACCCCAACTCCGTTGAGGGTGCCATAACTATACTCCATACCAGATGGTGTTTGAAAATAGATAAAATAGAATATTAACCCTCTCTAATACATAAAATATAAAGCTACACCACTACTACATGTATATCTTGTTTCTGGAATGCAAATTTTCTCTTATTTCAAAACAAGTACTAATAAATCTTGACACTGAGACATATTAACATTTTCAGACTCACTGGTCAGCAACCAAATAAGCTGTTTGTACTTTGAAATAAAAAGTAGGTTTTTACATTGAATTCATGCTTCATTAAGAATAGAATTCCTTTCCTTTGCGTTTCTTTCTTATAAAATCTGATGTGTGATTCAATGGTCATTTTAGACTATTGATGAATTGGAACTGGTTTGCCTCTTTCCCTTCTAGCAAATAAGTTCACCCTTGTTTTTATAGTGTTCATTTTGCTTATTGTTTTTTTTTTTAAGTTGGTCTACTAATGATTGTTATTGCCCCTTTTGGTTCCTTATACATATACATATCTATATTCAGTATATATTCAACAGTCATCGGAAATAATTGATAAAATCTATAAAAAAAAATGTATTTAAATGATTGAGCGAACTTTGATTTTATTAATACATCAAGAATAACCAATCAGGATGTGACAAAATGCCAAAACTTTATGTATTTGGCGATTATGTAACATCCACATATAAATAAGTATACATAAAATCATCAAAGAAAATCGTTTAAACATTGCATGAATTGGCGTTTTATCTATGTATCTAAATGTTTAATTTGTAGAGCTTATTCATGTAGCAACGTTTTACGATTGAAAACTCTTGCATATGAATTAAATATACCCGTATAAAGTACTGTGAATTTACATTTTATGCAGTTTTTACAATTCTGAAAGAGAGTTTATAAATAATAGAAGATAGTGATTTGACATAAAATTGACAGTATATCCCTGACAAAACATGTTACCAAACAATATGCTTTCAAAGATGGACGATATAATGGTCCATATCATATATCAAGATCTAAAGCATTCAGAGAATTATAACCATCTTAGATAAGATATAAATCTATTTATCAGAGACGAAAAAGAGATCAGGGACCAGTTTATTGAAAGTGTCTTAGGACTACATGTAAGACACACGGTCTTGTATGATATAACTCATTCCTTACTTTAGGTTACCTGAGAGGTCCTCATTTGCGACTTATCTTAAAATTTGTCCTAACTTACGGAATAATATATAGGGTGTCCTAAAATCATCCAAACCAATAATCTGAAATATGTACCAAATTTGAATACAAAATAGTCAAAATTCATTTAGATAAATATTCTTTACATTGTGGAAAGATTATATTATGACATAATTTGGTGTGACCTCCAATATGTTGCCATGAATTCAATTCTGGGACATCTCATCCCCATTGGAGGTTTGTTTTCAAGAAAACAACACGCACCTAAATTGAATTAAACTTAATACACAAATATAGATGTGGACCGTAAAGTAAGACACTTGTATAACTAGAGCTAAATAGATGAAGCACAAAAAATCTCTATAAAACATGTATTTTTTTTCATTTTTATTCATGTATTTGCACGATAATCTTTACAAAGACCATCATTAGGTAGTATCATCATGGACTTCGGCAAACGGGACTTACAATACTCTTGATATATTTCATAGGACATATACCTGGACAATATTTGTTACCAATTTCAAGTTCTTCATTCAACGAAAACATAACAGGAAATAAGTAATAAATCGGTATATTTTGCATTTAGATTTTTTCGTGAAAAAACAGGGTTTCATTTACAGGATAAACTTGTAACACTAACTTCAAATAAGATACAAAAAAGAGAAAGGAAGCAATTCAAACATGTTTTACGAAGCTGCAAAATTTCTACTGAAAAATACTAAAAAATACAATACAATAAATCTTTATTTAAAAACACTTTGTCACATTCACATTTGAAACAAGAGGTAAACATGTACAAAATACAGTCCATTAACCATATTTTACAAGATGTAAGCAAAATTTCGAAATAACTGGCAAGCAATCGAGATACTGCTGTTTTGGTACAAGCGTTTTCATGACAAATTACAAGTTTATCAAATGATCACTGCATCGCAATGTTTTACACTCATGCACTCATCTCATGTTAACTGTAAAATTAAATGTCTACATAGAGTATTATACAGTACTGGAATCATCGTCTCGGAAGATAGTCCTAAATATGGTTGAAAAAGTCCTCAGTAAACATCCATCCATGTAGCCTTTTAAAAACATCAGTGTCATGGAATCAGTATTTTAATTAACCTTGAAAAATTGTTTTTTCATTGCGTCTTCTATTCTTGTTGCTGGACACTTATTGATAATTTAGCCATATGTTTTCATCTGTTTATATAAGGTAAACATAGTGCAATATTTTTAAATATCAATTTCTCATGTAATTCACACCGTGTAAGTACGTGTAATACACTACAAATAGAATAATGTTTATAACAGGAAAACATTAAAATTTCCGCAACAATTGGTTTCCCATTCTGAATTATTAACTGTAAAATCGTATGAAAGTATTTATGAAATATCAAGTGATAACAGAGATAAAAATCGACGGAAAATTTCGCAGAGGATCCTTTAATGGGTAATTAAATTTGCGTTTTATCTAATTTCTTTTTTATGTGCTAATGGAAGTGTATTAAACGACCCTGTCATACAAAATTTGATATTTAAGATAACTTTGCAAAGGATTAAACAACAGTAGAACAGCTTTTTTTTTTGTAAAATATATATTTATTGACAAATTGAAGAGGAAGTAGGCTACGAAAATCAAAGCTGTTCATATCAACGCCAGAATTTAAGACAAAAATACAAAAACATGAAAAAGATCTTTATTTTCAGTTTTCATAACTACCGAATAGCAGCTTTGTTTTGAATAATTTTGGATCTTTTATTTTCATTGTAATAAAGATGTGTCCAACCTTATGGACACATAATGTAACGTTTACACTTATTAATGTTGGTATCGAGTGCTTACTAGTAAGTACTGTTCGCGTCAACAGGACAGAAACTAGACCGGTTTCCTGTTGCAGGATTAAATCAACACGAAATTGTAAAAAAATATAGTAAAAAAGAAGAAAGTTTGTAGTGAAAAAAGTTGCAATTTCATGGCAATGGTATCTTTTAAATATAAGTTCATTAGGAAATCAATACTTCTCAGCATGACAGTCTAGTACTGTATGAATGCACTTGGTACTATACTTATCTGACCTTATGTAGCATACAAGGTAACCGTCTGGTGGAAGACATGTCGGGTGGTTTTTTTTATTATTTTTAATGTTGTGTGCTTAGATAAAAGGCATCAAAGACAAAGTTAACATTTGACCTGACCAGTGGTCAAAACCGGAGATGTCTCACATTCTCGGTTAGAATGCTACCTCTGAAATAAGTTAGAATCATAGACAATGACATTCCTCATTAATTACACATACAATATTGTTGAATAGTCCTGTGAATAAAAAGTTATGTTTGATAGACGCAATTGAAACAATCACCGAACAAACGACGAGAAAATGAATTAGGTTGGCTTTAACTGAGGCACACATTTGGGGACAGCAATAAGTTTTCAATTATAGACATATCAAATGAATTGGTGACTTGGCTCTGTGCGGACTAGCGAAAAACCTGTAGTGGTCAACCTGTCAATATTGTGAAGAATTGACCAGTACTGGTTTGATTAGATGCGTGTAAATTTATGTTTAAACATATATAATTGTTGTCACATGTATTGAATAACTAAGTTCTTAAACCTATGTTTCTGGCAAATTTTGGACTTTGCGCGTCCATCCATTATTGATCAAAGCTAATTGATATATGTATATTATATGCCAAAAAAAACCAGTTGTACTTAGTTTGTACAACAGTATTCACTATTACAACTTCAACTAAAACCTCATGACGCTGCACGGCTTGGTCTAAAACTAAAAACTATTTTTTTCTTTCGACATATTATTTGTGGTTTGTTATTTTCGTTCCAGTACTAAGTTCCGAGATTTGTATGGTCTTTTTCTGAAAGTTTCATTTTTTCGGGCAATAGTTTATATCAATTTTCTTTTAATTTAAGGTGGACTTCAAATATATTGGAACAACTGCCCTTTTATTTATGTCGCCTTTTATCGCAGTATGGTTGCCAAATCAGGAAAATTCAAAATTAATGACCGTCAGTTTAGGAGAAAAATATGTCCACATAATTTCACTTTTAATCAACTACCTTGTCATAAAACTTTCCAGCACGATAATTGATTATCGTACTCAGACTCAGAAATCAACCAATCAAAATGCTGGATTTGGTGTTGTAAGCCTATATTGTGTACTCCAAGTACTGAGTCAAGTTTTATGACCAGATAATATTATCATAATAATAATAACAATAATGACAATAATAATTATATAAGAAAGACTAATAATAATACATTAATACTGTCAAATAAATTATTCATTGAAAAAATCTCCAAAGACTTAGAGATCTTCTTTTCAAGAATCACATGGTCTTGCCGTCGTAAATTTAAAAAATATATCAGTTGGCCTTGTACAATCTCAAGATAAGATTTAAGAAAGACGTATATATATCAGGTATATTTGTCAAACATTTTGTATTGATTTAACACAACTGTAAATAACCAAAGTTCTTAAATCAGTAGATAAAATTTTGTCATTTAAATTGCATGCGACATTTGTTAATACAAATGCAAACAGTTACATCACAGTGCTGCATGTTTACACCTCTTTAAAATAGAATGAAATCTTAGGAACAATACAATGTTTTGAAAAGATTTGTTTATTCTTACCAAAGGTGCATTTAGAAGGGCTGATATTTATAAAACATTTGTTTATTTAATCTTATCATCGATGCATTTATATGGTGTAAGGTTGCTAAATGTCTGCATGCCCACTGAAATATGAAGTGTTCCGTCCAGTTATTGTTTGATCTTCAATAATAAAAATATAAAAATTTGTGAGGCATATGTCACCCAGACAGCAAACCAATGACACAAAAACCATCTACATAGGCATATGATACATGTACTAAGTGATTGAGTTCGTTACAAACGTTTACAGATGAAACTCTGATCAACATCTCAGTTTTTGCTAACACGTAGGTCCAGGGGTATATAACGACAATTTATGGAATTATAGTTTCCCTTACTCCAAGAGATCAATGGTAATCATGATATGCTACTAATCCTATAGCAAACGAGGCAAGGTAAGAGTCATATCAGTACTCTTGAAATTGGAAGAAACATAATACCCATTTCATTTCACATGCATGTATACAGTTTGAACTGTCATAGAAACATGTGGTATTGGTTATTCTTATTTTCTACAGAATGGAGGGGTATCGGTCACGTGGTACTAGTATTGTTAAATCGTGAAGGTAATAGCAAGAATACGTTAAAAAGGCGGAAAATAAGTTAAAATACTAAAGAAATTCAGAAATTTTACTTTCAATGAATTCAAAAAGGGGGAAGGTCCATTCCATAAGCGCCTCTGGTATCTCTATGGGATTACTAAAGAATAATTTTCCATTCGTTCATCTGTTTTCAATTGATGTTTGCTTACATTTGTTGTGTTCCCAGTAACAATATAGGCATGCGAATTATCATGAATTTACTTATCTGACTGTTCAAACTGGCCAAAATAAAATAGACACAAACTAATGTGATCTCATTGTATCATTGTATCTGATTTAGAAGTACATGTATACTACATATTCCCAGCGAACAAACATTTTACACACCTTCGTTTGGTTTTACATAAGCTCTTGGTCTACATAATTTAAAAACTGAATGAACTGAGATTTATCTCATGTAACATTACTAATCCGTAAAGAACTAATATATTTTGACAGATTTAATCTGTGTATCAAATGTATTGTTTCTAGTTTTGTCTTTTGTTTAATCGTATTTAACGATAATCTTTTTTGAAAGAGGTAGGGTTTTGCTTATGTCTTTGTTGGCGATTTAATACTCCTTACATCAACGAAGATACAATCTACCACGGACTTCCGAACGTAAATCCTAATCATTTTTAAAAGAGCTATATTTTCTCGCCATTTGTCAATTGTTATTCAATAATTTCCTTAACTGTAAGTCACAGGCGAAAATGTCTTTTTCAAAGTCTGACCTGATAACGCTTTTGGTCAAGATTTCTGTATTTGAAAATTTATATTTTGTTGCTTTCTTTTATTAAAGCGAGTACTCTCATTGAACTTGAAATGAACATTGAACGATCGGTCATATACTAAATCAAATAGCTAATGACCACCAAGTTATATTTTCCATTACAATATTATGAAAATTGTGTCACGTTAGCAGCCAATACCTTAAAATTGACAGAAAGAAGATGATTGAGGAAACTTGCGACTTTAAAATGTGAACTGAAAATTAAAAAAACCAAAACGATGATGTTGGACATAGTTTGCACGATATTGACACAACATCTTACTAAGTCTCGTATGTTTAGGTTCAGTATTTTTATTTCGCCCATAGTCCAAATACAAAAACAATATTTCAAATTGATGAGGTCAAAAGGACACAAAGATGAAATCCATACTTTTCTTTGAAAACCAGTGAAAAAAGTTAAAATACTGTAATGCACGAGAATTATCTATTTCCTATCCCCACTCGAAAAACATTTCCCGAGGTATATTTACAAGACGCCAACAAGAACTGTATAATTCGAAAATATGTATCCTATACGTGAACGGAACAATTACAAAAGTATCATAATTATAATGTCAACAGATTTTGAAAGTTGATAAAATATAGTACATGCATGCGTGTACCAGATCAATTGTAGAAAGATATGTGTCCCTATATATCGTATATATTTTTTCGAAAACTATATTGTTTTATTTTAAAAGGGAACGAAATTAATTATTTTTTCCCATAAGGATATCTGAGACAAATATTTTGGAACACTAATTTCTTATTTTCTTTTTCTCTTTTTACAGAATATGTGAAATGGACTAACTGCAGATTACAACCTAACAGAGCACAACACATTATTTTGATATTTTGGAATATTTTCAAGATGTCTTGGTTCAAATTTTGGAAAAAAACGTCGAAGTCAAAAGAAGAGGAATATAAAAAGGAATTTCGTCGATCCGAATCACTCCGCTTGGCAGACGCGCAAAGTGATGCAGAGAAAGAAAAACAAAGATTAAAACATACATTGTCCATATCAAGATCCGGTCGATTCAAACAAAAGAAACGAGAAAGAGGTGGAATTCTAGATAAACCGGAATTTTATGGCGCTGAAACAGACACTAGTGAAATCAATAGTTCTCAAAATACACCAAACTCATCAAACTTTCAAACAGGACAATCTCCAAAAAATACGTGCAGAGACATGCGACAAGTAGCCAAAGTGCCTACGAGAAACGCTCCGCGACCCCAAATGGTATAGCGATAGTTGTCATGTTTGTCTTTTAAGCATATCAGTGCCTTATAAAACATTTTTGTGAACATAAAAATGTCTGTTGAAGACCAAAGTTGTGTGTGGTTGAGTGTTAGAATTTCTGTTATTCATCTGTGATTATTGTTATATAATTATTTGAGATAGTGTAAATACGTCGAGAATAAGACACCTTAAGTAAAGGCCAATTTCACCTGAAAACGAATGCCTTTTTACAAGGCCAATCTTATCTGAAAAAGTATACAGTACTGAAGCTATGAATTTCATTTCTTTGTTATAGGTTATGCATTCTGATCTGATCTGGTTAGGATACTTTATTTCAAGACCATGCATTGCCATGTCTCGCGTTCAAATAGTGTTAGTAAGATTAGTTGAAATATCACACTTTAATAAAATGTATTGTAAAGATTTAAATATTACAGGATACGAAAACTAATAAGGAATAGTTCACACATAGTTTTACAGGAGAAATTAGTTCACACGTAGTTTTACAGGAGAAATTGGACCTTAGGGTGCTTTTCAAGTGCAAGAACAAAACGCACCATACATTATTGAAATGTTCATATTCAAATCAAGTATTTGCTTTGTCATTTTAATTTAATATCTTATAATAGAATGTTGTATGATGATCCTGGTTTAATATCAAGTCTATGTACTTTATATAGATTAGTACATGTATTGGTATAAACTTCATTACACATGACAAGTGTTACCAGAACAATTTAGCTTGTGAAACATAAAAAAAAACAAGTAACTGGCATCGAAACAAATCAAAAGACTAAAAAGAACCGATAAAACCGTCTTTTTTTAATTTTTTTTTTTTTTTGGGGGGGGGGGGGTTAATCAGAGACCCGTTGTAATTAATAACTGTCCAGCTGTAACAGACATAGTGTATATTTCAGTAAAGATGATCGAAAGAGATGAGTTAATGTAAAGTAGCAACCAAACATAATCATTACCAGACGGTGAAGTATTTTTAGTTAACGGTTCGGTGGTTCTCTTAGTTACGTTTTTATAGGGAAAAGGGGGTCTTGTTTTGATGTTGTTGTTTTCATATTGGATTTCACTACGTGTGTTAACTTTCCCCAAGTCAATCGTGAGTGTAATTAAATTTTCATCAGTGAATACATTACAATGACCCCGAGATCACACATAAATCATAAGAAATATTGTATTCCTCTTCTCTTTCATTATAACCAAAAACGACAATGTCAGTGCAATCTTCTTGTCTCATTATACATAGTTAAGAGACTGTATACAATTAATATGTTACAGTAGATTAACAATAAAAAGCAAAATACTATAAATTGATTCCAGGTTTCAAGGTTTCCTTGTTCTTCAGGAGAGATAACATTTGTTCCAATATACATTTTGTGCAAACTTTCGATATAAGTTTTTTTTCTAATTATCAAGAATAGTTCCTTTTTAGTTTACATTTAAATTGCATATTGCATCTATGTGCTTTAATTTCAGTGCTTTGAATAATAATATAGTGCTTAATTGATAGAGACAAATTATACATCTATATCAAAATCTATATGTTAATGACTTGCTGTAAACGGAAATATGAAGTAACCATATTTAACTGTCTCATATTTGATAATATTATGACTCGTACATGCAACATGCATAATTCATTTTGATTTGTCTTAATTTGATGTTTTGTATGATTCATTATCTATATTGAAGAAGTATGCTTCCATGTTTTTTTTAAGAAAATGTGGTTTGCATCATGTTCAAAAATGAAATATAGAAATACCTTATATTACTTGATGTTTTTTTTATGTTTTCCTTATCATTCATTTGTTATATTTGTTTCTCTTCATGTGGAACACACTAAATAAAATCGAGAATAGCAGAAGATGCCTTCCATTTCAACGCAACAGTCTTAAACCGTTTGGAGTTTGTACGTACGGAGTCAATTGCTTTTGCAGTAAATGTTTCTTAGTTTGAAGCTGCTCTTATGGTGTTTCACCTTAATACGTTGTTTTGCTCCTTTAATTTTAGAGATTTATCATGAAAAAAGCTTTTCAGGTGCACTCAAGGCCAAAGATTGATAAACTGCAAGCAACCAAACACATTTTGGACACAGAAATATGATTTTAAAAACACATAAACTGCCCAATGGTGAACTATTTTGTTGTTGGAAGAAACTGAAGCATTAGTATAGGAGAAGTGTAATTTATCAAGAGAATATTTCACAAAAATATTTTTTTATTAAGCATGTCATTTAACAAAGAATACAAACGAGAACTTATAGTGTTCGCTTAATTGTAATGATTTAGGAGTCGTTACTAAAAAAATGTACGCACGAAGCACTTTTGTGTAAGAACAAATTCTTTAGAAAGATGCATATGAAGAACAGACAAACATTTTTAAATGGATCAGCATGAGTTTACAAAATACACATTCAATACTTTAGAAATTGTGTGCGTCCGAAGCGCTTGTTTGGATTTACCTGAAAACATACTCCAAAATGTGTGCTCTCAGTGTTTACATAATGTAAAATTTTATAAGACAGGCGGAATATACCATAGGAATATCCAAACTCATTATTCGACGACAAACAGACAATGCCATGGCAAAATACGAAAAGCGACAAAATGACAAAGAACAGTATACAGGGGTTATCTCATGTGCTATGGAAGGGTAAACAGATCCTTCTCCACATTTGGCACCCTATGTGTTAAACAGAAATTCCATAACGGTCAACCAACTCGTGATGGCGTTCGTTTCAAAGGGATGACATCAAATTCACCACTTGGATTCCTTGATTTGATAGCTTCCTTTAGCTTGTAAATAGCAACCCATTAAAAGAAATCATGACAGAAAATGCAACCAACTTTGGAATAACTATTTTATCATCTTGGGCTACATTGGTTTGGACAGGGAAATTTTCTCAATACAAATGGTTATTTTCAGCAGTTGGTAGGAACACACGCTATTTTTTTTTCAGGTATCAACGTGTGAACTTTAATGTCATTGTTAAATGCACAATTACTTGCAACATTTTTGGCAGCCAGAATACAGAATATTCAAGTCCCCTTGAACAGATAATTATTTTGGATCAAGGTCAAGAAATATATTTTGAAAAAGCTCCTAGGAAGCAGTACCTCATCACCCTAGATGTGATGTCATTCCCCTTCTAATATTGAAACTTGTTTTTAAACATATTCTTTATCCGTACATTGAGGCGTTTATACATTATATGTAAAGGTGATGAAGTTAATATATTTGATATTTTCATTGGTTATAGATGTTAAGTTCATTTAACGGAATGATTTAAAGAGACTATGGTAGATTCACTATATCATTAAAATATTAACATTTTAATAAAAGTCCAAAGCAGCAATAAAAATTAAAATATTTAACACAGAAAGATAATCGGCATTTTACATTTTCATTTTCAGACCACTCACATCTTATCAATAATGTATTATATTATTATTATACTTGTACGTAACAGTAACCCTTATGTTAATGTGTACAATAAAAACAATCCAGCTAGACTTATCAGTTTAAAAAAATCATCACCTAAAATCTTTGGAAGCATTTAACATTTTCCTTGTCGTAGAAAGTTTTAACCATAAATTCAAGGGAAGGTGGGAATTCACCTCAACTCTAATTTTCTATCTTTGAAAAGGGGTATTTATATTTTGATTGGTAGTAAACATTTCATTAACGCGAATTTACATAGTGTATAAAAGAGGCGGAATATATCAAAGGGATATTCAAACTCATAAGTCGAAAACAAACTGACAACGCTATGGCAAAAAACTAACAACCAAAAGACAAACAACAGTCTTCAAAACAACATAGGCAATCGAAGACTGAGCGTAACGAGCCATACCAAAAACTGAGGGTTATCTCAGGTGGTCCGAAAGGGGCCGCAGATCCTGCTGGACGTATGCCACCGTCTTGTTGCTCATCTAAGTAAAAATTTGGTGATAAGTCTAATTCGGGGACGTCACATTGTATAATCTGATGATGTGCAAAAGTAAGTTGGTTTGGTTAGGTTTTTGCTATTTTTTATTTTTATGTAGATGTTGGCCTGAAATAAAAGAGTCTAAGAGAAATGAAGCCTTTCAAGAAGGGTCAAATCTTACATTGGAATATATCCAATATAATTGAAATATAGTTCTCAGGGCTCTCGGTCATAAAATTTTACTCAGTATTCGGAGTACAAAATTTCTGCTCGAAACACCAAATCCATGATTTTGATTGGTTGATTTCTGAGTCTGAGTACGAAAATCGTGCTTGAAAGTTTTAAGACCGCAATGCCTGATTTCGTTATACTCATATGAGATATGTACGAGCAGGCAAGTTAATATAGGTCTGAATTTTAATCAGATTGGAATATATCATTTATTAGATTTTAATACCAGAGAAGGAACTTGACATTTGTCTCTAATCGACACGGATATTTACCATTGTTAAGTGTTATCAAAATTATGTCATTGTAAACTTAAAATATCTGTATACCAGGGGTAGCCAGTACATTATATTTCTAAGGAAAAATAAGCTTGCTTAGATTGTCAATGCACAGTACACATATATAATGTGTCATTTCGTTAAACAGACTCATTAGTGACAATACACTGAGTTTTGCTATCTTAACCGTCATTGAAATGAATCATCTATAATCCAAATCTTTTCTTATTCATTCGAGCGATTGTCATTACAGGTGACAAGGTTAACATGATTGTTGATATCCATATTCAATCGAAGGAATTGTCTATTGTCTTACACAATTCAATTTGATTTTAAAAGTTGTCATTATATGTGTGGTGAACAAAAACACCTTGGAATTTTTGTACAAAATTTATAACAAAAATTCACAATGTTTACGTTTTTGTATATTTTTGACAAAAATATACAAAGTAGAAAACAGATTTTGTACATTTCAACTAGTAACAGTTACTTTATTCTCAAGTTTCATTTCAAAATGAAAAAAAGTAAAACATATTTAAATTGTAAGATTTAAAGTTTGATGAGACAGACATTGACAGATGTCATACTGGGTAGTTATATTGTAATTCGTTCAAATGGCCATCAAAGTCTGAAATAAAAATAAAATATATTTAAATAATTAGATGTCTATATTAGCGGTTTGATTGAAGAGTAATGTAAATTCATTCAAATAATTGTAATTACATTATATTAAGTTACACTACAGCCTAAATAATGCAAAGTTATAGACCCCACTGTGCTGTTCTGGTTGAATCTGCCTTGTTTTTTTGGGTTATCTAAAAAGGTATTTGGTTGAATGAGGTGTGTAAATCAACGTGCAATAACCAATAAGAAACGGTGTTACCATTTCAGAGCGAGTGCAGATAATAAACACAAAAAATCAGCAAACGTACCCCAACAAATACGAATTTTTCTGCTCTAATATTAAAATTGAAAGAAGGGTTATGTGAATGTAAATGTGCACGATTATACCATGTAAATACCTAAAATGAATAGGAAAGGGGAAAAGTGATTTATATATCGTCTCAAATTTAGCCTTACAATGTTAGATCTGCAAATTTTTGTTCTTCCCTCAGTGGGATTCGAACAGATAACTTTTGTTTTCTTGAACCACAACAGTATTCAACCAAAAGCTGTGATTTAGCTAGCTTAATGTAGTCGTGAGCACATTCTGACCCTTCATTTTAAATTCTGTGCCGTTTTATACATCATATTTCGAGTTGGTAGCAGTAATGTACAGGTTTGTATTGTGTGTTACTTTAACAACATATGATCTATATTTTGAGATATTTACTCCTTATGCGGTCGTGCTGGAATCATGTTACATTAATATGCAACGTTTTGACGACGGGAACATGAAAGCTACAGTAGATCTACAGGTCAATGCTGAGCCAACAAATTTCGAATTTGCTATTTGAAATATATTTTTTTCTAAAACATAATCTGAGGTATGTTCAGGAGATCCAAATTCAGAGACACAAAGCAACAAGACACCCCGAATCTAGATATGTTATAAATAAATAATAAGACTCTCAGCAACACCAAATCCTGTAAATGACAATAGCCTCAGATATGACAACAGACAGCAACGAACAAAGCGATGTTAAACTAGTTTTCCGCGCATGATAGAACGGGGATAGTGTCTATTATTCTGCACAACATAGATTAAATGTCAACATCATTGAACACAAATATAGCAATATTACGTTTAATCCTTAATTAGGAGTTTTCTTGTTTTCAATTTTTTATGCACTATCGTCGAAATATACATTTAATAAATTTGAGAATGGAAATTGGGAATATGTCAAAGAGACAACAACCCAGCCAAAGAGCAGATAACAGCCGAAGGCCACCAATGGGTCTTCAACGCAGCGAGAAAACCGCGCACCCGAAGGTGGTCCTCAGCTGGCCCCTAGATAAAAATGTGTACTAGTTCAGTGAAAATTGACGTCATACTAAACTCCAAAACATATAAATGAACTAAAATTAAAAAAACATACAAGACTAACAAAGGCCAGAGGCGGGGTTAAACATGTTTTGTGAGATCTCAACCCTCCCCCTATACCTCTAGCCAATGTAGAATAAAGAAACACACAGCGATACACACAGTAAAACTCAATTCAAAAGAAGTCCGAGTCCGATGTCAGAATAGGTAACAAAAGAAACTAAGCAAAATGACAAATTCAATGATACATAAATTAACAAAGGACTACTAGCAGTTACTGAGATGCCAGCTCCAGACCTCAGTTAAACTGATTGAAAGATTATGTCTTCATCATATGAAAATCAAGTGCAACC